ATCAGCGGCCAAGACTCAGAGACTACAAAATGCAGCTCCCGGACGAGACCAGTGCAGTCAGTCTCCTGCCCCTGCGCCTGGCTGTTCCTCGCCGGGGTCCCTTGGAGGGGAGCGGGTTGAGCTTTCCTCCCCACCCCGACCAGGGCTCCGGCAGCCGAAGACCTCCAGGACCAGCCACCACCATGCTGAGACCACTCTCCGCACACATGAAGGTACTGGCAGAGGGACAAAGCCACGCGGGTTCCGGGGCTGAGATCTCCAAGCCTACTCGAATTGGAGTCGAGCATCCTCCACCCAGATCCTCCAACTTCCAGTAGGCGGGGGTCACACCCACCACCTGGCCCCCTGGCGCCGTGTAATCCCATCAGCGGCCAAGACTCAGAGACTACAAAATGCAGCTCCCGGACGAGACCAGTGCAGTCAGTCTCCTGCCCCTGCGCCTGGCTGTTCCTCGCCGGGGTCCCTTGGAGGGGAGCGGGTTGAGCTTTCCTCCCCACCCCGACCAGGGCTCTGGCAGCCGAAGACCTCCAGGACCAGCCACCACCATGCTGAGACCACTCTCCGCACACATGAAGGTACTGGCAGAGGGACAAAGCCACGCGGGTTCCGGGGCCGAGATCTCCAAGACATCTATAATTAAACTTTATTCTAAGCCAAGTTTGTGATGTTTGGGGGTCACTGTGCAGTCTACCAGGTCATCTGTGTACCCTCAGAATGCAGGGCAGTTGGTCCACATAGGTACACACAAAACCGGAGTGAGGGAAATCTATGTATGGTTTTGCACCATGTTTATCAGTCTAAGTGAATACACAAAGAACCCCCAGGAAAAGTGAGCTGAGGTAATTGCCTCATGACATTAGTAAATGACGCCAGCACACAGGAAACTGGATGGCACTCATTCAAGCAGTCTGCAAGACTCTGAAAAGGTCAGAGGCACCAGAAATGCAGACTGCTAACTACTTGGAGAATTTACAACCTAAAACTCATGAACTGGAGTGACAAGGCAGGAGGTCTGTCACTTGTCTCACACTCAGCTGATTCAGATTTGATCCCTGGAACTAGATATGGTCCCCCCGAGCCCTGCCAGGAATGATTCCTGAATGCAGAGCCAGGAGTCGCCCTAAGCATCGTTGGATATGGGCCCCAAAATCAAAATAACAGTAACAAAAAAGTTTTCAAGATAGAAATTAATATACAATTCAATACAAAAATCTTAAGTTAAATGATTTTCTATAAATTGATAATGATGGATGAATATACAACAAAATACATCCATGCCAACTATTTACCATACTTTCTAGACTACATCATACCATAAATGAAACCAAGACTTATGACAAACTTTACTCCCCGAAATCTCACTTTTTTCTAAGTTTTCCAAAAACAGTTCTAAACTGTCATGAATTTAGTAATCTCAATGTTATATGCTCGGGCTGGAGCGATAGCGCAGTGGGTAGGGCGTTTGCCTTGCACGCAGCCAACATGGCCAACCTGAGTTCGATTCCTCCACCCCTCTCGGAGAGCCCGGCAAGCTACCGAGAGTATCTCGCCCGCACGGCAGAGCCTGGCAAGCTACCCGTGACGTATTCGATATGCCAAACACAGTAACAACAAGTCTCACAGTTTGTTGTGAGACGTTACTGGTGCCTGCTCGAGCAAATCGATGAACAACGGGAGGACCGTGACCGTAATGTTATATGCTAGAAGCCCCCAATGAAGCTGACCTATTACTGTGGTTTCACAGGCATGCCAGAAACCATGCTGTTTGATGTGTGGTGCATCTTCTCAGAGCACACAGAACAATACACTCAGTAATGGTGACACTGAGAGTAGTTCTGCCCTGCAAGGGAGTCACTTTACTAGAAGGTCATTGAAAAAGGTTATTATAAAAAGTTTTGTTTCGGGACCACACCTGTGCTCAGTGCTTACTCCTGGCTCTACAGGGTATGATATAGGGATCATTCCTGGCAGGGCTTCGTGGCCCATATATGGTACCTGGGTCAGATGCATGCAAGGCACATGCACTACCCACTGTACTATCACTTTGGCCCCAAGGTCATTTTTCAGAGGGGTCATACCCAATGGTCCTTGGAGACTACCAGGGCTACACCTGGCAGGTGTGGGGCCTGTGGTGCTGGGTATTGAACCCAGGGCCATGCACAAGCCAGTCACGTGCTCTACTACTTGAACTACATCCCGACTCAGCAGTCATTCTCACAGCTGCCTCAACTAAAGCCGATTTTCTTGAAAACAACTTCAGCACTTTCTAAAATAACACTTTTCTAAACTTCAGTATTCCAAGCGCTAACAGTAAATATGCAGGCAAGACCCTTATTGCCATCCCTGAGTTATGCACTTTGAGGAGACAGTAGTAAAGGATTAATCTGCAGACTGAAGAGGAGACAGTCAAGTCTCCGGCCAGTAGCTCTCAGAGCGTTAAGAGAATGGAATCCAGATTCTAACTTGGGAACATCCCCAGAATACCATCCCCTAAAATGAAAGGTGCTAACAGAAGCTTTCTGGACACAGTGAGTCTCACATTCCCTCACACAGGGTCTGTGCTGTGCCTGAGCTGACAGCTGAATGACAGCATCAAGAATAGCTTCAAATGGGGACAAAGTGAGAAACCACTATCAGGGTGCTCTCAAAGTTGAAAGAGATTTCCCCCGGGCCATACTACCTTTCCTATACCACAGCAAGGAGAGTCTACTAAATACATACAGGTTTTAGGAAAGAGGGCCGTATCTTTACAGTCGCGAAATTATGAAAACAAATAGGGTGATCTGGGATGGCAGAGTCGGCTCTGTGCTCCGAGGTGGTGATGCTCAGAAAACTACACAGTGCAGGGGTTGGGGGACCCAAGGAGGGTCAGCCACAAGTGCTACTCCTCTGGCCCCACCCCCCAAAAAAAACAAAATGGAAGAAAAGAAAAACAAGTAAGGTGATAAGAACAGCTTGCAACAAGTCTAAGTCCACAGCAGAGCAGAGCTTCGGTGTTCATAAACTCAAAGGCCTGTAGTGAATGCTGAAAGACTGTGGTCTCTTTCAGCAATGAATAGCCTTGATTTGTTTCCAGAGTTGGTAAATTCCCCTTAGGCAGTGACTTTTTGCAAAAAGGGGCTAAAGAAGGTTTCCATTCCTTCTGAGCATTCTCCAGATCCTTTGCTGCACTCTCACATTTGACTTGAGGCCATGAGAGCAGACTATTTACTTGGAAATTGCATTCTTTAAGACAGCGAAGGGCAAGATTGTTTCTAAGAACTGCTAGTCTGCTGCTCCCTACCCTTTGCCATTTACTACAATCAAACCCTTCGCTGCACTGCAACAGAATCTGCCAAACAGAACTAGCTACTAAACTGAGGGCTCCCTTTGTCCATGAGCACTAAACGGGTCTATATTAATGCAAAAGGGAAACTACCCAAGATTCCGAGTGGGCTTGAAGTATGCACCGTTACAGACATAAAATGCCTTATTGTGATGGTCTGCTGGAGGTATTCCTTGTTACGATTTAATAAACACTTGAAGCCACAGAGCTATTTCTCTTTCAGACACACTGATATCACAGATGCAGAGGAGAAAAGCACACACAGTTAATGAGCCCACAGCACACCCGAATACTCTAAGAAGTTAGCGAAAATCTAGGGGGGAAACTACTAATATAAACCTAGACTGAGAATCGTCAGTGGGAATAGCACTATTTAACAGCTACGAATCAAAGTTACCACAATAACGCAACCTTACTGGAAATCTCTCCAAAGTTCTTTAGACCAAACAGTATCTCACCCCTTTCCAAGGATTTCATTCCCAATGATTTGAGAGTAAGGAGACACTCGCTAGAGGCGCTTTACTGTGTTTACTCTCACAGGCCTATGCTGAGAGTTTGTCTGGAATTTCATCTATTTTTTAAAAAAAACTTTGGGAAAGATTCTGAATGGACATGATCACTAAAGTTGCTCTTCAAATATGAATTAATAACTCTTAAATTTACTTTTGAGGGAAGTGCAGATTACAAGTCTGAAAAATGGGGGTGAGAATGCTGGGATGAAGATACGCAGTTCCTGCTGTCCTCTTGACAGCATTCAAAAGAAGATTCTGGGGCTGAGGATGTGACAGAGTATATAGCTTACATGTGTGAAGTCCTGAATTTGATCTGACGCCACATAGACACAAATAGTGATTCTTAAAAAATACATAAATACAAAATATATTAACATGCACATATAAACACACAATCACATTTTTCAGAGCAACTGTAACTTTGCACATCATCTTAATTTTTTTTTTTGCACATCATCTTTAATGACAAAATTTTGTCTCAAGTACTCCTACTCTCCTACTTGCGGAGATAAAAGCATCTGATTTGTGAATAAAAATATATTCAGGAAATGAAAGAAATGTGTAATATTTTGGAGGAGTAAAAGTATTTATCCAACACAGACTCGGGGGGGCCCAGGGGCCATTCCCAGTGATATTCTGCCAATCACTGCTAGGACTGCAGGAGGTGTGCCGCTTGGGCCCTGTGGTGTTGGGGCCCACCAAAGCCTTCTGGGCACTCTGGTGCTGCTCAGGCCATGGAGTACTGGGGGTCAAACCTGGATCTATTGATTCCAGTCATTACCTAATCCCTGTTCTATGGCCCTTGCACCAGGGTCAGCTGCATGCAAACAAGGCAAGCAGTTTAACAAGTACTATCTCTTTGGCACTATACCTTAAGATTTAGCCTGCAGCCAGTATGTGTTTAAGACCACATGAGTTTGGGGTAATAGCAAGAAAATGGGAGAAATTTAGAAGAAGAAGCCTTATTAGCTTTACTCTTAAGGCACTCTTTGCCTGTTGCTTTCTAAACGGCAGAAAAAATATGCTACCTTCCAGATGTTTTCAACCCACCTCTGGTGATGAGCAGAGTGTTCGGGCTCGAGCCTCGGTAAAGCAAAAGTGTACCTTATTTCAGGAACATCAATGTGGCGACCGTAAGAGAGAAGAGGTTCTGCTAAACCTACCAGGAGGCGTGCAGGCATCCGCAGGAGACTGGACAAATGTGGATCGCCTTTTGGTTGGCATGGGCAACGCCATTTTCTGCTCTTTATGCTTTGCCAGCGCGGCCTGAACTGCTTCGGTGTGGATATCTGAAAATGAAGCGTTTACGTTAATTCACCTTTATTACCTCCGGTTCTTTTTCATGGGGGGTGGAGAGACAGAGGTTTGGGCCCAACTGGGAGGTGCTCGGGAGCTATTCCTAGCTCTGTACTCAGAAGTGACCCCTGGTGGAGCTGGGAATCATATGCAGGGCACGGGATGGATCTGAGAATGAGCATGAGTCAGAGGCTGCGAAGGCCTTAAGCTCTCGGCTTTCACAGCATTTCCTTCACTAGACTGAAGGATCTCTGCTTCAACTGCTGAAAAAGGAAAACAAAACAGAGTTCTTACTACTACCTCCAATTCAAATTAAAACCACAAAATTCATTCTAATCTCCCCCTTTCTCCAATTGTAGCTATCTTCTCTAACAATAAGAAATCTGGTTTACAATTATCAGTATGTTTTACTCATTCATTCTAATAGACAAAATTCTTTAATACACAGAAAGGACGTTCAAATACCAATCCCATATCGCTATGAAAATTAACTATAATGGTTGGAAATGATAATTTTAGACAGGAAGCGAGTGCTAAAAGTTGGTAAAGGAATATACCTGATAACCTTTCAATATCTGCACTGCAAACCATAATGCCCAAAAGGGACGAGGGAGAGGAGGAGGGTGGGAGAAGACAGAGAGGCAGGGGTGGGGGTTTGGGTGATGGGAGGGAAACTGGGGACACTGGGGTGCTGGGAAATGTACACTGGTGTAGGGATGGATGTTGGAACATTATCTGACTGAAACCCAATCATGAACAGCTAAGTAACTGTGTATCTCACTGTGATTTAATTTGAAAATAAATAAATTTAAACATTAAAAAAATTGTCTAACTGGAGCTCACTACTTGCCGGATTAGTTAAATACTGTGTTCAAAAGTTATGAGTTATGGGCCAGGAATGCAGCTCCTACATGCAGAATACATGCTTAAGATTCTGAGTACAATCCCCAGCACTAAAACTGATTTTTTTTTGAGCTGATTTTTCACTGCTTCTTCTTTTGTGATCATTAGTATTTATTGAGTAATACAGCCAGGTCAATTTGTTTTTGTTCATATGCTATAAGACCCTTCTAATCTTGCTGATTAAACATTATGCAGCAGAATATAAAAGTATTTGGTCTCTTCCACTTTTCTCTGGCACACAGTTTCTAAAAAGCTTGTAACTTCCTGAGTGACAAAAATAACTTTTGCTCTAATAAAGCAATGATTGGTGCTTCAGGATAATCACTGCTCATGGAATGGCCCGGCCATGATTAGAAGTGCAGAGCCATTTTTGTTGTTTGTTTTAGGCTATGCTCAGGGTTTACTGACTCCAGGGTCTGTGTTCAGGGATCTCCACGGAGGTGTTCTGGTGGAATTGTAAGTGAGGACTGAATCTGAGTTGGACACATGCAAGTAAAACCTAACCTCAGTGTTATCTCGCAGGTCCAGAAGTGCAGAACTGTAGTTCCATTCTACGGCTACCCTCCAGAGAGAGTAGAGTGGTGAGCTAATCAGTACTGACAAATGATTTAATCAAATATGCCTAGACAATGGTCCCTCCCCTCCTCCCCCAAAAAGTCTAAACGATGGGATTCAGAGGATCTCCATGACAGTCAAAGAAGTCGTATGCCAACAGGGGGGTGTACCCCCAAAAAACAATGGGAACTGAAGCTACTGGACCCTTCTGAACCTTGCTCTATACATCCCTCCAACTGGCTGACCACCAAATCCTTTATAAAAAAAAACCTAATACTTTCTAGAAAGTGAAGTATTTCCCTGGGTTCTGTGAACTGCTACTGCAAATTACTGAACCCGGAGGATTGACTGTGGGAAAACCCCCGCTGTAGGCAAAATGGACAGGAGAGGAGGCAACTAGAAAAACCAAATTTGATGGCATCTGAGATGGGAACAGTCTTGAGGAAATGCTCTAACTTCCTGTCTTAACTGTGGTGATAAAACTGTGGTGTCTGCACTAACTCTGGTTGGTTAATATGAGAATTCAGTTAAATAGCAAGACAAATGATTGGCACCTGTAGAGAACTAAAGACTTGGTGATTAGAAAAATTCCATACGGCTGTTTTCAGAAATAGCATGACTAGACAAGACTTTTTTCTTTAATTAAATGATTCCAGAAGACAAAACTGTACCAAAGTGACCCAAAAAAAAAAAAAAAAGAAAGAAAAAAAAATTAGAGAAAATATACTCAGAAACTTGATAAAAAAATTTCAAAGGACATGAGCATTTACTTCACTTACATACTTTATTTCTCAATCTTTTGGTGATGCAGAGGATTGAATCCAGGGCCTCACACACGTTAAGCATATGCTCTGTCTCTGAGCATATTCCCAATTCCCAACCCACTTATCTGTAAAGATGTTTAATCTCATTAGTAATTGAGGAACTTTAATTTGAAACTATACCAAAATTCCACTTCTCATTTGCCAAACTGGCGATGTAAAAAGCTATACAGCACAATCTGAAGATGAGATGCTACTGCTGTTGGTAATAAAACAACATGATAAAAAGTCTTTTGGAAAAAAAAAATAGTCTTTTGGGAGCTGGAGCCATAGCACAGTGGGTAGGGCGTTTGCCTTGTATGCAGCCGACCCGGGTACAATTCCCAGCATCCCATATGGTCCCCCAAGCACCGCCAGGAGTAATTCCTGAGTGCATGAGCCAGGAGTAACCCCTGTGCATCGCCGGGTGCGACCCAAAAAGAAAAAAAAATAAAAGTCTTTTGGAGGGGAGTATATTCAGATAAAACAAATTTAAAATGACATGGCACAACAGTGAAGCATTACACCTGTCAAGGGCGGGGGGGGGGGGGGAGAGGGGGCGCTTCTCTCTCTCAACACAGACAAGTACACACATGCAAATGTGTTCATTTCTTGACTTAGGAGTCCTGCTTATAACGGTTTTCCCTGAAGGGGGAATTCAAATCAAAATGACAATGAAGTATTGCCTCACACTAGTGAAAAAGTTCAGAAATTGGTGCCAGAGAGGTAATGTAGCAGCTAGGGTGCTTTGTTTTGTTTTTCTTTTTGGGTCACACCCAACGATGCTCAGGGGTTACTCCTGGCTCATGCACTCAGGAACTGCTCCTGGCGGTGCTCAGGGCACCCTATGGGATGCTGGGAATCGAACCCGGGTCGGCCGCGTGCAAGGCAAACGCCCTACCTGCTATGCTATCGCTCCAGCCCTTTTCTCTGAATTTTTAAGAGTTCTTCATACGTAAAGAATATGAATTATTTAGTTCTGATATATTTAAAATATATTCAGTTTGCCCTCTGTCTTTTAACACTGCAGTAGATTTTTGCCACATAAGAAAAAGAAAAAAATTTATAGTTTTATGTAACGTCTCCATTGGAGACTTTGTTGTTACTGTGTCTGGCATATCGAATACTCTCGGTAGCTTGCTGGGCTCTCCGAGAGGGGCGGAGGAATCGAACTCGGGTCGGCCATGTTGGCTGCGTGCAAGGCAGACGCCCTACCGCTGTGCTATCGCTCCAGCCCTTTTATGTAAGAGTTCAAACAACTATACTCCTGACATTTAAAAAGACAGGAGGAATTTTAAAAAAAGACAACTATAGAAATTTAAAATGTTAGGGGACAGAAAATCAGAGTCTTTAATTTTTTTTTAATTTCTTAAATTTTTAAATATGTTACTGGGGCCAGAGTGACAGAGCGGGTAGGCTGACTGCCTTGTACATGCTAACGTGGGCTCAATCCCCAGGATCTCATATGTTTCCCCAAGCCTGCCAGGAATGATCTCTTAGAGCGGAGTCAGAAGCTCTGAGTTCCACTGCGCGCGTGTGTGTGCGGGCACGTGTGTGTGTCTTGGTCAAGGGGGTAAGGGCAAAAACTCCTTTCCATGCTTTAGCCCCCTCCTTCACAGCTGTCACTGGGGTACCAGGGCTGCATATTTGTTTGGCGGCGGCGTCCAAACCTTTGGCTCCGCATCAGGCTGCAGCACTTGTGCACTCAGCAGGACACACAGTGGATTAGCTACGGGCTCAGGCAGGCTCACAGGAGGTCGGTCTTCTGTCTGGGGGCTCATGCACACTTGGACTGCAGTGTTTGCCAAAAAAATGGCACACTTGAGTCTTGGTGTTGGGATGGTGGTGGAGAGAAGGGCTCACGTTCCTGGCTGCAAGCACTGGGCCACGAATTCAAACCCCCGGTAGCCCACACGGACTGAGCAGTTTGAGTCCGGCGGCTCCAATGGCTCTGGTCTGGCCCTGTCCAGCCACTTCAAATCACATCACTGCCAGGTGTGTGTGAGCACCTCAAAACGGGCAATACCAGTCGAGCCCCACAACTAAAGAGAAGTGCGAGAGCCTTGGCCAGAAGCGTGACCTCTGCCAAGCGTGTACGTGAGCATCTCCGTGATGTCAGATGTGAGCACTTCAACCAGAACTTGTATGTCGACCCAAAGTGCACCTGCTACCTCCTATCCACCAGAGATGTGGTAAAATTTTAACCAGTGCCCACTCTCCTTAGGGGCATTTTAGTATTTTCCCCCTGCCCTTCCCTCCATCCCCTCTTAGCAGTGTTTGTGTGTGTGCTAAAGGGGGGTAAACGGGGGTAGAGAAACATCCAGTAGAACTCAGGCTTACGCTGTTCACAACAGCCAAAATTTGGAAACAACCCGAGCACCTGAGAACAGACAACTGGTTAAAAAAAACTTTGGTATATCTACTCAGTGGAATACTATGCAGCTGTTAGGAGAGATGAAGTCCATGAAATCTGCTTATAAAGTGGGAGAGTATCATGCTACGTGAAATGAGTCAGAAAGAGAGGGACAGACATAGAAGGACTGCACTTATCTGTGGAGTATAAAATAACATGAGACTGACACCCCAGGACAGTAGACACAAGGGCCAGGAAGACTGCTCCATAGTTGGAAGTCTGCCTCATGAGTGAGGGGAGAAGGCAGCTGGAATAGAGAAGTGATCACTAAGAAAATGATGGTCGGAGGGATGGGAGATGTGTGCTGGAAGTAGATACCTTT